CAACCACCACCACAACCCAAAAAAAAAAAAAAAAAAAAAAAAAAAAAAAACAACAAAACAAAAAAAAAAAAAAAAGGAAATCTTAGCTGGAAGCCCAGCTTTGCTCCCAGCACTAGGGAGGCAGAAGCTGGCATATCTCTGTGCGTTACAGGCCAGCCTGGTCTACAACCTCTGTGAGTTGGAGGCCAGCCTTGTCTACACGCTGACCTGCAGCCCTGTCTCCCCTCTCTTGCCCCAGCTGTGGTGCAGCCTCCCTGCTGCTCTGGAAGCCCCCCGATCCTCAAGTTCTTCCTTTGTTTATCTGCTCATTTGCTCTTTCCCAGATCAAAACCTCACATGTGTGCCTCTGACTGGTGGAACCTAGGTCTCATGCCTACACTGTAGTTGCAAGGATATCTGGGAAAGTCAATATCTGTCCTTTATTTTGGGAAAGTGGGATTTATGAGGTCGGAAGACCCACACACAGGACAGTTGATCAAAGGACGCTGGTGCCCATGAGACATGACAAATGTTCCCCCAAACTGTGGCTTGGCTTATTCCCCTACAGATGTGAGATGATTTAATTACAGTACTGCCACAGTCTCACACAGGTCAGGCTGACCTCAACTCATTTGTAGTTTAAGATGACCTAGAACTCTTGATCCTCCTGAACCCTCACTCCTGCCCTGCGTGTGGGAGGGAGTCAAGAGTGGAGAGATGGTCTAGCAGTGCCATTGCAGAGAACCAAAGTTTGGTTCCCAGCACCCACCCGAGGTGGCTCACAATGGCTTTTAACTCCAGCTTCAGGGTATCTGATGCCCACACAGAGGACCCAACAATAATAAATCTTAGCCAGGTACGGTTATGGGTGGTACACGCCCTTACTTAATCCCAGCACTTGGGAGGCAGCAGCAGGTAGATGTCTGAGTTTGAAATCAGCCTGGTCTACATAGTGAGTTCTAGGCCAGTTGGGGCTGCATAGAAAGACCTGGAATCAAAATACAAAATAAAACAAAAACCAAACCCCAAAACTTGAGTGGCTGAAAAGACAAGCCAGCAGTTAAAAAAACACACTGCTCTTGCATAGGACCCCAGGTCAAGTCTCAGAAGCTCACAATACAATAGTCACTTACTCCAGCGCCTCAGGGAACCTGACACTCTGACCTCTGACAGGCCTGCAGGCACTCATATGTATACATGCATACACACACACACACACACACACAAGGACCGTCATACATACACACTATTTTAAAGACAGACAAGGTTTTGGAAGAACAAAGTCCATAAACATTGCGTAGTGACCACAGACCATCAGTTGCGGTATTCCCAGCCCCCCAGGGGGAGTCAGATCTCCCCAGCCATCACCCACGTTTTCCAGCAGAGCCAGATTCCATTCTTATGGTTAAATGATGGACGCCTGTTTCTTCTGGTCTATAGGGAGCTTGCATTACTGTGTCCCAGACCAGGAACGACAGACAAGGCCTAGCCACACCGGGGCAGGGCAGGGCTGCAGGGTGAGAGGGGTTGAGGCCCATCACAAAGACAGTCTGCAGCCTCCCCCTAACCCCCGGTCCCCAGAGAAGAGCAGCTGATGGGTTTCTGGAGCGATCCAATCCAATTATGGCCCCCTCCTCTCTGGTGGAGGCTGAGCCGCCACGCCCTTCCCCGAGGTGGAGACTGGTGGGAAGGCAGAGAGAGCGATGCTGAGCTCTGCACATATTGACCCCGCACACCTCCTGGCAGCAGTCTGGCTCACCGTTACGCTGAGGCTGCTATGACAGCGCCGGTTTCCAGGCGACTGTTCTGGGGGAATGGTCTGTTTTGGCAACCAGAGGGCCCCTGGGTAAGCCGCCCCCCCTCCTCCCGCGCGCCCTGTAGGCCGCACCATTTGCATGGCAACCTCCTCCCCTCCCAGGAGCAACTCTGCGACATGTGACAGCCGGGGTACCCGCCCCTGTTCTCGGCCAGGCCCGCCCCGCGGCTCGCTCGCTCCCGCAGCCTTGTCAAGGCCTGTCCTTTGGGAGCACTGGCTACCCGCCCAACCAGGGTATTTCCGGAGAGGCTAGTACCCTGGAGACCACGGAAAGTGATGCTTGGGGGACAAACACAAATGGGGGAGGGGTGATGAAATACAATCTTTCAAACCAGAGTCTGGTAGCATCCCAGTGCATCGTGGGTAACGGAGGATGGCTCAAAATGTTTATTTAGGTAATCCAGTAGTGAGGTCCTGGTTGGTATTCAGAAAATACCTTTTGGGTCAGGTCATTGGTAGTGTGTGAACATGGAAACCGGTGGCTTGGGCGGGGCGGAGGGGGGCACGTTTATTTTTTATTTATTTTTCTTGAGGTAGTCTCATGTGGTCCTCGTTGGCCTAAAACTTGCTATGTAGACCAGGCTGGCCTTGAACTCAGAGAAATCCACCTACTTCTGCCTTCCAAATGCTGGAATTAAAAGGCCTGCGCCACTATGCCCCGCCCAATACTGATTTGTTTGTTTTTACTATTCAAAATGTTATATTTATTCTTGAAGAGCTTTTTTGTTTTAGTAGTATATATCAATTGTACATAACAGTAAATTTCCTTATGACATTTTCACACATGTGCAGGATATATTGTGATCATGGTCATACCCCCTATTAACAAAGACTTCCTACCTAGAAATATCTGCTGGTGATGTTCTTGGGAAATATTGTCAAATACTTGGAGGGGAGTTGGTCCGTCCGAATTTCTTGGAAGAAACTGAAAGAGAAAACAGATGATTCTTTGGGGCCCTTGCTGCTTCCTGTGCACACCCCACCGAGTCCATGATGCTTAGTGAGAGGCCAGGCTGGACCTTTAGACCACAGGAACTGCCCAAGGACACTTGCCTTGACTGAAACCCAATAGGGGGCTGGGCAGGGGCAGGTCACTCCAGCTCAGCGATCACATTTCCCTGGCAGCTGTCCAAGGGGCAGTTCCCAGCTGCACCTGTTTGTAGGACGATTGCTTTTATCAGTATTGACACAGCATGGAGCCCCGGGAACAGCATTGCAATAAATAAATGAGGGGGTGGAGAGCCCAGCGAGCCGGGGGCAGCTGAAACCTATGAGGCCTTTTTCTGCTTGTTTGTCACGTCCAGTCCAATTCCCTGACCCTGGAATTTTCTGAAGATCCTACAGGCTGGCTTGTGCATAAGAGCCCTGGGTCTTAAAGAGACAAAATTGCAGAATCACCTAAGATCCATTCCTTCATGCCTGGCTGCTCAATTAGAAGCACTTGCTGCTTGTGCAGACAGCTTAGGTTCGATTCCCAGCGCCCACGTGGAGGGTCACAATTATCTGTTACCTTAGTTCCAGAGGTTCTAATGCCTTCCTCTGACCTCTGAGGGAAGCAGACACACATAGTACACACTCATAAACATAAAATAAAAATAAATCTAAAAGAAAAGCTTCCTCATACCAGCTGTCTCCAATCAGTGGATTTCAAGGTTACTCCATGCCCTTAGCTGACATTTAGTTTGTCCTGGACCTGGGCATCAAGGGAATTCTTCCCTCTGCCAACTTTATCATCAGAGAGAGGGGTATAATTAAAGTGCACATTTTTTGGAGTTATTCAAACCTAGAATGAAACCATGGCAGAGTCTAGCTGTGTGATTAGAGATGTGTTCACCAACCAGTCAGAGCCTTCACTGGAGGCTTTGGGGTGGGAAAATGCAAAACAAAACAAATCTGGGCTGACATGGGACTCAGTTTGTAGAAAGCTTGCTTAGCGTTCAGGAAGCCCTTGGTTGGATCCCCAAGGCCACAAAACCCAGGACGGCAGTGTTTAGCGTGTGCCTGTGATCCCATCACTGCAGGGTGGAGACAAGAGCACCAGCAAGTTCATGGTCATCTCTCCTGTGAGATCAAGACCAGATACCTACCCAGTCAAACAAAACAAAACAAAAGCAGATCTGGTCTATTCTGGAAACAGCAAGGAGAAAGAGGCTAACAGCATCTGCTGAGAACAGCCAAATGTGTCCCCTTGATAGCTGCCATCCTGTTCTGGTCTTCGGGAGGCCTCTGAGCTAGGTCCCCTCACCTCTGCTCCAGAGTGGTCAAGTACCATAAGGCATAAACAAAAGCTGCCCATCTGAGGCCACCTAGCCACGCCCTGAGATAAATTGCCTCTGTCAGAGCTACTTGAGGTGAGTCACTCACATGCCTGCCACAGACAGGAAGGCAGGGCTCCAAGGGGCACCCCGGTGCCAGTTGCCAGCCTACTGAGCTCCAACCCCAGTCCTTACGCCCACCAGTTACGTGCCTGTGGGAAGCTTACCACCACGATCCTGGCGTTCTTGGTATGAGGTGGAGATCACATCCATGTGCTTGCTGTTATTATCCAGTGTGTGGTGGGTGCTCCATGATGTTAGCACTTGGGGTCATTGTGCTTAATGAGGTTGGGGACCCCAGCACAGCCATCTCTATATCCCCAGATCTTTACGTTGAGTTGGCACTGGGCAGAAGGCATCACTGACTGGTGAATGAATGAATGAATGAATGGCCCTCAAAAAGTTAAAAAGCTGGTGTGGGGATGTAGTTCAGTCCCTACAGTGCTTGTCAAGTGTTCTGAAAGCCGTGGGTTCAATTCCCAGGTGCACAGAAAACCCACCAGGGACATCCAAGGCTGGCTGTCAATGCAGCTCACATGTGGAGGCTCACATAGGGTTAAAAGCCATCTTGCCTGTCCCCAAGCCCCAGAGGCAGGCAGCCTCTGGTCCCTCAGTTTTATCCATCTAGGATAGATAGATACTTCAGGAAAGAAAAACAGGAAGCATCCCTGAGAGCCAGTGTGGCTCTCTCCCTCCCCTTCCCCTTCCTCCTCCCCCCTCCCCTCATTTAGTGGAGGGTTAGGAGGTGGGAGGAAGATGGTCTTCTGGGTCACATTTTGCCAGGAAACCAGGTCCCTCCTTTCAGACTGTGGGTTCCAAGGGGACAGATAAATAGCAGAGAGAAAGATGCAGCCCACAGACAGCAAGGCAAGCTCCTTGGCAGCCCAGGCACCATTACTGCACCGTTTATGGTTCCAGAAGGAGCCCTCCTCTCCATTCATTCATTCATTCATTCATTCATTCATTCATATGCTGCGGTAAGTGCTGACTACTACTATGTCCTGAGAGATGGACTTCATGCGTGGCAGGAAAGCACTTTGTCACCCAAGCTCTGTCCCCAGCTCCACTAATCAGATTTCTGTACATTGTTTTTGTTTTTCAAGACAGGGTTTCTCTATGCAACCCTGGCTGTCCTGGAACTCTTTTTGTAGACCAGGCTGGCCTTGAACTCACAAAGATTCCCCTGATTCTGCCTCCCAAGGGCTGGGATTAAAAGTGGAGCCACCACTGCCCAGCTTGTTTTCTTTTATGACAGTGTTCTATGCACTTTGTAGCCCTGGCTGGCCTGGAACTTGCTCTGCAGACCAGGCTGGCCTTGAACTCACAGATTCTGCCTCTGGAGTGCTAAAATGCTAGGATTAAAGGTGTGCACCACTTGTCTTGCTGCTGCCTAGAACAAAGTTTTAATAATAATTTCCAAGCTGGACAGTAGTGGCTCACATCTTTTTGTTTGTTTGTTTGTTTGTTTGTTTTTTCTGTTTTTTCGAGACAGGGTTTCTCTGTGTAACTTTGAAGCCTATCCTGGAACTAGCTCTTGTAGACCAGGCTGGCCTCAAACTCACAGAGATCCACCTGCCTCTGCCTCCCGAGTGCTGGGATTAAAGGTGTGCGCCACCAATGCCCGGCACGGCACACATCTTTAATCCGGGCACTCAGGAGGTGGAGGCACGCAGATTTCTGAGTTGGAGGCCAGCCTGGTTTACAGAAAGAGTTCCAGGATAGCCAGAGCTACATGGGGAAACCCTGTCTTCAAAGATCCAAATAAATAGATAAATAAATAAAATAAAATTTCCTTAAGTGCCAGATATAGTAGTGAGGATCTACAATCCCAGTATTGTGCAGGCTGAAGCCAGAGCGATTTTAAGTCCCATGCCAACCAGAGCTACAAGGAGCTACCCTGCATGTGGGAGGTGGGGAAGGAAAATGTCCTCATGTTGTCCTCAAGCAAATCCCTCTGGAGTTATCAGGAGGGCAGCGGAGGGACATTATCTAATCTGTTTTCCTGTAATAAATGAGGAAACTGAGGCGCACCCTAGCTCGGTCAAGGTGTTCTGAGATATTCTGAGTAGACGTGGGAATCTCTAGACAGCAGCACCCTTTGACCTTTGAACCCTCCCCTGGAGGTAGGAGTCAGCATTTAGCTGGTCTTAGCCTCTGATAGGATTTGCCCCTTATCCTGCTTTGTCATTCCAACAAGGTCTTCACCTTGCTTAGAAGGCTGAGTGGGCTAAGAGCCAGGGTCCCTGGGCTGCTCCGTGTGTCTTTGATTCTTTCCCCCTTCCCCCGCCCCATTCCTGGATATGGTAGGCAATTGCTGTAACCCTCGACTCCATCCCTAACCTTCCACAGCCCACTGTGTTTGTTCTTGAAGGCAGCCCTGAGCTTGCAGAGTCTCAGTGCCCCCTTCCACAGGTAGAAAGAGAAAGTCACATCTCAGCTAGGATTTCCAGTAACACAGAACTGAAAGTAAGAAGAACCCGGGGTGGGGTTGGGAGAGCCTGTAATCTCTTGCTCTTGGGAGCAAAGGCCTGGAACCTCAAGAGTTCTAGGTTAACTCTGGGTTACACAAGTCTGGGAAAGCCTGGTCACTAAAACAGAGTCTCCTGCCTCAGGGCAAGCATGGGGTAACCAAGCTTAAGCCTTGTATGTAGCCCAGGTTAACCAGTTGAGGAACCTCCTGCCTCAGACTCTTGAGTGCTGTCATAACAGATGTGTTCTAGCATCCCTGACTGGGTTCCTACAGGAAATGGCAGACTCTCCTGGGGTGACCAGTTAAGGACACACTTTGAAAAGTTAAACACTGGGGCTTGGGGCTTGGGGCTTGGGGTTTGGGGCGTGGGTTAGAGGTCTGTGTAGACTGCTGCCTTAGCCCACTCAAGGCTCTGGGTACTTGGGGGGGGGGGGGAAAAAAAAAGAAAAACAGAGAGACCTGAGGTGGACCTGAGGATGACATGCCTCCGTTGGTAGACAGCCCAAGGTTCCATCACAAATCAAGTATATTGGTAGATCCCTGTACTCCAATCTCTGGAGATTCAGAGGCAGGGGGATCAAAACTTCAAGATCAGGTCTGGAGAGAGATGGCTCAAAGGTTGAGCACACAGAGGATATAGGTTCAGTCCTCAGCACCCACCTGTAACTCCAATTCCAGGGAATACAAGGTCTTCTTCTGGCCTGCACAGGCACACTTCATGGGCATACAAATACACATAAACGGGAATAAAACATTCTTAGAAATTCAAGGTCACGGGGCTGGAGAGATGGCCCAGAGGTTAAGAGCACTAGCTGCTCTTCCAGAGGACCTGGGTTCAATTCCCAGCAACCACATGGTGACTCGCAACCATCCGTAATGAAATCAGGTGCTCTCTTCTGGCCTGCAGGCAGAAGAACACTGTATACTTAATTTTTTTTTTTTTTAAGATTTATTAAGGTCGCCTTCAACCTCAAGCTTTAATAGGGAATTTAAGGCTAGCCTGAGCTACAGAGAGCAAACCCCTGCCTCAAAAACAACAGTAACACAGCCAGGCATTGGTGGCCCATGCCTTTATTCCCAGCACTCAGGAGGCAGAGGCAGGTGGATCTCCATGAGTTTGAGACCAGCCTGGTCTACAAGAGCTAATTCCAGGACAGACTCCAAAGCCACAGAGAAACCCTATGTCGGGGAAAAAAAAACCCAAAACAACCTAACAGTAACAGGGGTTAGAGTGACGGCTCAGCAGTTAAGAGTACTTGCTGCTCTTCCAGAGAACCCAAGCTCAATCCTTAGCACCAACATGGTGGCTCACAACCATCTGTAACTACAGTGCCAGGAGATTTGAGGCATTCTTCTGGCCTCCTTGGACAGGTACACACATGGTACATATGGACACATTGCAGACAAAACACTCATACACAGAAAATAAAATTTACAAAGCAATAACCAACAGCCAGGCATTGAGATGCATGCCTTTAGTCCTAGCACTCAGAGGCAGGAACAACCCTTTCTAAGTTCAGGCCAGCCTGGGCTACACAGTGAGACCCTGTCTCAGACAACAACAACACACATTATAGGATTGTTACAAGGCAGTCAAGACTACAAAACAAAACAAAAAACCCAACGAACTGACTAATAAAATGAATTAATTTTTAAAGCTCTAAGTATGGAGAATTCAGGGCTGGCCAGATGGCTCAGCGGTTGAGAGCACTGGCTGCTCTTCCAGAAGACCAGGGTTTAATTCCCAGCACCCACATAACAGCTCACAACTGTCTTTAACTCCAGGTCCGGGGACCCAGCACCCATGGCAAAACACCAGTGCACATTAAGAAACCAAACCAAACCATGGAGAATGCACTAGCAGTGAGAAGGAAGGATAGACCTTGGTATAAGAGGTTCTTTTTGCTTTGCATTGGAGTTGGAGGAAAGACAGCCTCCATTGATGTCTGGTACCACCTCACCCCCCACACCCCACCCCTCACCCCGAGCCCAAGAGGCTGAGCAAGCTCTCCAGTCCATGTGCTCATCCCCAGGGCCCCGTGTGTGCATCCATCTCACTGTCTGCAGTGTCACTATTTCCTAGCTCATTTTATGGCTGAGAAACCCAAAGCAAAAAGACCATTAGGGAAGTGGCCTCTGATTCTACAGCCGGGACCCAGAGCACGGTGGGCAGGGACTGCCTACCGCCAGTCCCCTCACCTGACTTCTCTGGGAGCCCTGAGGGTTCTAGAGCAGCTGGCAGCTGAGGAATGACTCCCTGACACTTTGGTGAGGAGAGAGCTCAACTTCTTATTAGCCATGTGTTCCAGGCCAGTCACATGAGCGAACAAGAGCCTTGGTGTTCAGCTGCAAGAGCCTTGATAACAAACATCTCCACCTACCTCAGGGGTGATTCGAGGGTTCCGAGAAATCAGGGACAGGGCAGTGCTTGGAACTCACTGCAAAGGGGAACAGAAACAGACAGCAAGCAAGTTCTGTCTGCTGTGGCCCCCCCAGGTCCTCAGCCTGTTTTCAAGGCAGAGGGTGATAGAAGTCAGAACCGGGCCCTCTGCAATCCCATACCATTTACTGCTCCTCTTTGGGTTTCTTTTCTTTCTTTAAAAAAAAATTATTTATTTCTGTATATAATTGTTTTGCCTGCATGTATACTATGCACCATAGGAGTGCCTGATACCTGCAGAGGTCAGAAGATGGCCTCGGATCCCCTGGAACTCAAGTTGTGAGGCTGCCATGTTGCTATGTGGGTGCTGGGAATCAAACTCAGTCTCTTTGCCAGAGCAGCAAGTGCCCTCCTTCCCAGACCACCTCTCCAGCAACACTTCCCCTCAACCCCTGCCCCACCCACCCACCCACCCTTTTTTTTTCACATTAGGGACACACTATGTAGCCCTGGCTAGCCAAAACCTAGCTGGCCTCAAACTCACAAAGATCCCCCTGCCTCTGTCTCCAGAGTGCTGGGATCAAAGGTGTGTCCCCATCATGCCCTACTGTTGTGGGTTTTTTGTTGTTGTTGCTTTTAAGACAGAATATCTGTATCCCATGGTGGTCTTGAATTCCTGATCCTCCTACCTCTACCTTTCAAGCTGGAGGGTTGCACAGGTACACCATAACACACACACACACACACACACACACACA